TTAGATAACTCGACGAGTTGCTGAGGGTTTTCCCGATCATCTGGACATTAAAGAACTCGACGAGTTACTCAGGTAACTCAACAAGTCGACTCGAGTTTTCGGTTTTGAAGTTCTGAAGAAACTCGACGAGTTACTCAGGTAACTCAATGAGTTGGCCCTAGTTTTTAGTTTCCGAGTTCGGGAGGAACTCGATGATTCAGTGGATGAACTTGGCGAGTTGGGTCAACATGGACTGTTGACCTTGACCGTTGACTTTGACTTTGAGCAAGGGTTGACCAAGTCTGACTTTTGAGGGTATTTTGGTAATTCAGGATTTTAATGGAATCAATATATGATGGTTGCAAGCAGTTGAGTTGGAGCCGAGAGTTGGAGATATATCTTCTTGATTTCAGTACTACTTACGAGGTGAGTTATCCTCATTATACTTAAGGGTCGAAGGCACCAAGTCTGGCCCATTGGGTCTAATATCCTAGTAATTGATGATATGTTAAGTATGAGTTAGTTATGAATGCTAGTTTGATGTGTCAGTTGGGTAGATCTATAGGACTACCTGCGTTACTATCTGATTATCTGTATGTACATTTAGTTGTTATATGTCGACATGTTTTGTGGGTAGGGTAAAGGGTATACTGCTTTGTACGGTGACCAAAAAACCCTAGAGAATGCCAGATATGAGCTTAGGGCTGGGAGGCCAGACTCATACTGAGGACTCCTAGGCATTCCAGATGCGAGTTGAGGGCCATGGGAGCATGTCAGACTTGCACTGAGGTTTGATCAGTTATATTTTAGTCTTAGGACTGAAGGTGCAAGCCAAAATTCATAAGCTTTAGGCTCGAGAACAAACAAGACTTATGTTGTGGGCTCGGGAGGAAGCCAGATGTGAACTGCGGGTCCGAAAGGCTAGCCAGAATCGCACTATGGGCTTATGGGTAATCCGGCCTATAGAGTTGTGGACCCATTACATGTTGTTATGTGTGCTAATCGTTATGTATTGGTATTTTGGGGAAACTCACTAAGCTTCGAACTTATAGTTTTGGATTTTTTTTTAGGTACTTCTGATGATCACGGGAAGGCAAAGGTTTGATTGTGCACCTCCTCGCATTTTATGATTTTTATTTCTGGGATACTCTGATATGAAACTATTTTGAAAACATTTTGTAAGTTAATGGTATTTTTGAAGTATTGAAAAAGTTTTAATTTTTTATGAAATTTTATGGATGCTACAAGTTGGTATCAGAGCCTTGGTTTGAGTTAATTGGAGGAACACTCGTGTGAATCTAGTCTCAAACTAAGGAAAATATTTTAAATGATTTTCAAATGGTTTTCATAATACTATAGGAGGATGCATAGTGTACGATTAGTCGGAGCCATTAAGTAGACCCCAAAATACCATACAGATATTTGATATTGTGATATGTTAGAAGAATATGCTAGTGACAGGATAGGGATCTTCAGAATTTGCATGATAGAATTGCCTGATTATATGATGTCTGATAGCCTAGGGTTTCCCTTGTATGAAATTGGCATCATTACTGTAGTTTCTTAGTGTATGCATCATAGTTGTACATAATTAAGATCTTATAGCCTGAGAATGTTTAGTTTGGCCTTATTTCATGTTCTTCTTTGATGAAGGGCTAAGGGTAGGATCAGATATTCGAAAGTCTATAGGGTCCATTGTTATGTATGATTAGCATACACGAGTGTTGCCCTGTTGGTGAAAGTTTCATGGAGGAGTTGTGCGGGTTCAGTCAGCCAGTTATTTAGCCTTCCTCTAGGAGTGAGGATTGAGTGCTCGCTTATGTTTATGTATATTTTTAGGGTGTTGTGATGATGCTTGATACAAATATTGGTAGGTGTGGAAGGTAGTATGGGCCCGTACTACTAAAAGCACAGGACCCATAAGCGTATCAAGGAAGTCACAACCCCTAGGGATTTGTTGTGAGTTGGTTCCATGTTATTATATGGGATGTCTAATATATTCCTGGTATATTTTCAGCATGGTGGTTACGAGGTGATTTGTGACTGGATCTGGGTTAGGATAAGTAGTTGGAAGTCAGGGTGGACCAGCAGTGCCAGAGTTGCCAGAGATGTTTGGGT